TAAAAAATCTTACGTAATAAGTTCATGGTCCAAAACCATCATGCGATGCCTCAAATCACATGAGAATTTATCTATCACCTCACCGCACTTTTTTCGGAATTTTTGTTGGTAAGATGGGTCAGATCTCACCATTGCACAGTGGTCCAGAATGCAGATTTAGATGGAATGATATGTTTTGAGCCTGAAATTGAAACTTTAGAGTAAAAGTCTCTTGTACAAAGTTGTTCCTTATAGTTAGGCCCTCATTTTTATGACAATGAATTCTAGGGTGGTTCCGGGTGCACGACGTTAGGCATACGGTCGTTAGGCATACGGACGTTAGGCATACGGACGTAAGGCATATGGACGTTAGGCATAAAGGACGTTAGGCATATTGGACGTTAGGCATAATCTACAAAAGAAAAGAAAAATTTCATATAACTTTTACAGGCGACTGAGAAAAGAGCAAAACATATAAATTAATAATACGATCATATTATTTAACCTTTAGGGGCTGTTCATTAACTACGTAGACAGTTTTTTTTTATTCTTTACCCCCCTCCCCCTGCGTTTATAATTCTCCATACAAAATGTTTTAAATTTGTATGAACCGTGGACAATTGCCAACCCCCCCTTAAACTGTCTACGTAGTTTATGAACAGCCCCTTATATGTTTGAGGATTTTTTGGTTTATTTTCACCGTGTTATTCGAATTAGAGCTGGGTAGCCTGTCACGCACATAACGGTTAACAAAATGTTATAACTTATACAAGCCACGTCCATGATAGGTTGAGATAAACTATGGCATTGTATTCGTAGGCTAGGTATATTCAATATCAAGCAGTCACTTTAGGATAACACACATCTATTGACATCGAAATCCAATATGAAAAATCCTTTACAAGTTCTTTCGGTGATTTACAGAGAAAATTCATACTCGAATGATATTTTATTCGTCATCCAAGATGTCATCGGACCTGTATTTTACTGGCCATTGTTTATTCGGAAAATAGTGATTTCGAAAACATTCCGGTATCTAGAAAGAGTTCAACTAACAACTTTCTTTTTTGTGAACGGTTTCAGAGATGCTGACTCATGGCTGCAGTTCATAATGCGAATTAAAGGAATCTCATTTCAGAAATACGAGAAGGACCTTCACAGCCTCTATAATTATTATTTGAGGGATGACATTCAGCACCAATATTTTTCTTATTGTATTACTCACAAAAGATATGAGTTTTTGAATGGTTTGGCGAGGAATGTTTGATCATTATATGCTAATAAAACAAGTTTTTTTTTCCATCGTTCATCATGGGTGCTTCATCTTTAAACAGGACTGTTTTTTTATCACATGCATTACGAATACATCTTTATGAGTGTTAACTTCACTGCTTCACTACTGTGCATCAAATAATAAAACGAATACGTGCTGGGTTATGCGGTTGTGTTGGCATTACATACAACAAAGAACAATACGTCAATATTTGAAAAGAATCAAGCGGACGCATGGTTGTTGAAATATTTCAAACAATAGATCAATGTGTTCGTTATTTCAGCAACGTGGTTTCATCGAAATTGTATTGTTAGGACATGCTGATCAGTGAGAGGTTGGTTTAGTTTTCATTCAAGTATTCAAGCGGTCAGGCGAATCAAAATGGAGAACGTTAACGTTGAGGTCGTAAAATCGTCACGTGGAAAAGATATGTTGGCAATAGCGGGCTACATATTTTACTGCAACCGCAAAGAGGTAATAATTAATCGCAGCGAAAATATCACTCAGATGTACAATTTTTGTTCTTTTTTTTAAGATCGAGAGCAACATCTATTATTGGGAGTGCCGTGTCCGCTGTCATACTGCCGATGATAGAGAAAAGTGTCCGGCAAGAGCCAGATCAACGATAGTAAACGGGCAGCATAAAATACTCGGCATCTCAGAACACAACCATCAACCAAACCCTACAAGTAGTCAAATAGCCCAATTCCGACATAATCTAAAAAGACGAGCGCAATCGGATACCGGAGGAGTGTCTAAAGCTATTCAGGAGACACTATCGGAATATTCTTCGGAGGTTCAGAGTCAGATGTCCGAATCAGCCCGCCGGAAAGTTGTTGAACGAGTGCGCTCTAAAGCTAAGCCAGCATCGGATCCCGTTTCCCTGGATGAATTTGTTGTACCCGATGAATTCCAGAAGGATGATAATGGGGACCGTCTATTGATTGCTGACATCGGTGACAATAATGAAAGAGCCTTAATTTTTGGGACTCATGAAAGCTTGCGACGTCTTGGACAGGCAAATTATTGGGTTGCAGATGGTACGTTTGCCACAGTTCCTTGTTTGTTTCGGCAACTCGTCACTGTTCATGGAAGTATCGCTTCCTCACATCAGCAGACGGTTCCGCTAGTTTTCATTCTGATGACAACAAAAACAGAATCGTTGTATCGAAAAGTATGGGAGGAAATTCTGGAAGCAGCAGGTATTTTTTTTGTTATTGAATGAAAAACCACATCACCATTCTTCATTTCATGAGCTGTTCTTTGGCATCATCTTTTATTCAAACTTAGCTGTTTTTTTGTACTTGAATGAAAAATCACAGAATTCACCATTCTTTACTTCATGAGCTGTTCTTTGGCATAATCTTTTATTCAACCATAGCTGTTTTTTGTTATTGAATGAAAAATCAAAGAATTCACCATTCTTTATTTCATGAGCTGTTCTCTGAGGAAAACTTTTTCTTCTTTGACAATCGCAATATGTGTGTAAGAATATATTACAACAAATGTGTGATTTTTTTTTTATTTCTAGATGCGATTGACGTGTATTTGGAACCAGCATATATTATCACCGATTACGAGAAGGCTCTGATAAACTCAGTGATTGCTGAGTTTCCCGATGCCAAACATTCTGGCTGCTTCTTCCATTTCAGCAAGAATCTCTTCAAATTCATACAGCAGCATAAAATGTTGAACGATTTTGGTCAGAACCCAGCGGTACACTCTACGTTCAAAAAAGTGCAAGCTTTAGCCTTTTTACCTCCTGACGACATCGCCGCCGCCTTTGATATCGTGAAGCAGCAGGCACCGGATAATATGAAGCCATTCAAAGGAAGGAAGAGGAAGGAAAACAGCTAAAATAGCCCCGCTATTTCCACCTACTTTCTGGTCGGTTTATGCCAATGTTTTGGACAAGGTTTCGCGAACAATTAACCAGGCTGAAAGCTGGCATAACCGCTGGACAAAGATAGTTGGCGGCAAACATGTCGGCGTAGTAAGGATCTTGGGAGAAGTAAAAAAAGAAATTAAATACTCTATAGGGCTCATTGCTGCGATACAGTCAGGTGCATCGGTTCGAAAATGAAAACGCGAAGACACTGCTAGGGAAACAAGGATTTCAGATATAGTTTAAAACTATGCTGAGTTTTCAGTGCCAGATTACTTAACCACTATCGCTACTAACCTTGGATCTAAGTAAATATGTAGCTACGTCACTTATGATTTGATAAATAATGGATTCCAAACTGTGCTTATTAAATAAACTATGTTTGTATAGCTTGTTTCATCTTTTATTCAACGCTTAGCCTAATTTAAGCATTGTTTACCATACGCGAAACAGGTTTCTAGAGTTGCACAGCAACAAGGTATTTTATGCCTAACGTCCATTATGCCTAACGTATATTATGCCTAACATCCATTATGCCTAATGACTTTATGCCTAACGTCCATTATGCCTAACGTCCGTATGCCTAACGTCCGTATGCCTAACGTATTTATGCCTAATGGGGTACACTCGGTGGTTCCTATTATCATTAAAATCAAAAATCTAACTTTTTTGTTTGAATATATTAAGGTATACATTCTTGGGCAAAGTTATAGTTGAGCTAATTTCAAGCAACTTTGCTTTGAATAACTTTTTTGTATCTCTTAAATTGGCCAATTTAGAGCTATTTTCTTGAATTGAGTAACGGTGGCTCTTAAAAAAACAGTTGTTTTGCTCTAGTTATCATAATTCGAATTTTTCAGCAAAGGTGTCTTCAACCAACTTTTAGATCTTAAAATGGCGCAAACTTTTGCTACACAAAGCTTGTCAATATCTTTCGCCGATCAAGAGTTATTGACGTTTTTATACTAAAAATATGCACTTTTCAAATGTTAATATCTCTGGTTGGGGCAAACAAAAAAAAAGTTTTTTTACGGCATTTGAAAGGGCGTATATTATTCTCAATAATATGAAAAAATTAGAGGAACGTTATTATTTAAACTCGTATAAAATCAATTTGAATTTATTCATATTTTTTACTATATTTGGGTATATCTTTTTATTACAGGATATACAGGCAACAAATCCAGCTATAAAACATTTGTCTTAAAGAGTTTCCAAAATCTCTAGAAGATGACTTCCATAAGAAATTTTAAATAAAAAAGTTATTGGCAAAAGATGCTATAACTTTGCCGAAGAATGTATACCTTAATTTATAGAAACAAAAAGTTAGATTTTTGATTTAATTGATAATAGGAACCACCCTAGAATTCATTGTCATAAAAATGAGGGCCTACTATAAGCAACAACTTTGTAGAAGAGACTTTTAGTCTTAAGTTTCAATTTCAGGCTCAAAACATATCATTCCACCTAAATCTGCATTCTGGACCACTGTGCATTGATGGATTAATTCGTATTTTTTTTGTTCTATTACTTCGCTACACGTTGTTCTACATGTAGCCTTAATTGTCATGTTAGCTCTTTTGGGATAAGACTTGGGGGTAAGAAGTATGTCTGGCAACCACTACGCCGTGGTGATCTGTTGATCGGATCGCCCACAGCAATCTCTGACCCTTTCCAGGAAGATGGCTCTTCCTTCCTCCAATGTCTGAAGACCAGTCAGACGATGGATCTCAGAATTTCGCCATTTTTGGATTACTTTAGACTCTGCACTCTCGATCAATAGTGAAATTGAACTATTGGATGTCAAACGTAACGAACTACATATGGACCTTCTTACAGTAGATAACATCCTAACTTCAACTTTCAACCCTGTTAGGTGAGGATGCCGATAAATTACAGTCACATTGGCAAGTTTAATATCACATTGAATCGCACGTATTCCATAATGAACCGTACCCACCTTAACTTTCTGCTGATGCTTTAGCGGTGCCATCGCCAGACAGGTAGTGATCACGGCCGTCCCGAACCTCGGTAGCCCACAAATATGAACTCGCTTCGTCCGGAGAGGCATTGCTCCGGTGGTGGAATCCATCAGCAGTTTCAAGTCCATCACAGTCCACAAACCGAAATAGGTCAGGGTCGCTTCCTGAAAGTCACAAATAATTTCCAGCCCACACACCTGGAACTGCTCCTCTTCCAAGTAGCACTCAATCAACGCCGATCCCAGCTTGAACACGTGCTCCGGCTTCATCCAACTGAGCTCGATTCCCGCCGGGCGGTAGAGCATGACAAACTGCCCTTCGGCGGCATAACCCAATGGTACAAGAAACGCCCCATCAATCAACTTACGGTACAGATCAACGGAATCACTGATTCGGAAGCACTGGGGCCACCGGTCGAAACAGGTCAGATAGTTTTCAAGCATTTCACACGCGGCAATCACATTGAACTTTCGGGCCCGGAGAAATCGCAACAGAAACGAAGCATCCGTTCGGCACCGTTGTATTTGCGGGTGCTTGGCGATGAATTCCCGCATCTGCGCCAACGAAGGATCGCGGGTTGATGCGTTTTCGTGTAGTTCATCCTTGGCTTTGGCGAGGAAGGTGGGACTCAGAGTGGTCCGGTAGGTGCCGTACAGAGAGGGACATTTGTCCAAGCTTGGCAGCGAAGGCATGGTTCGGACACGGGTGCAATATTGTTAGAAGGGTGATCAATGACTGAACGGTTGGGCGTTGGATCTGGTATCAGCTTGCTGAGCTTGTTGCACCAGTTTATAGGAGACTACATATTAAAAGGTGGCTATTAAGCGGTTCATAGAAGTAGAGGTTAATAATGGTATACTCAGGTGCTCGGGAGCGTTGGCTTAGGTTGCATGTATTATCGGTGCAAATTGGTCTAGAAATTTAAAGGAACAATTTGGAAATCTTTAACGAAACCAATGGAGGTGTGATTGAATTATGCTTGATAACTGATCCATTTGTTTGTATCTCCACTTTCAACAGTTAATTTACGATCGAATTAGATTTCACCACCCAAGCAAACAAAACTGCTGAAAGCACGCGAGATTAAACTGCGCCACAATGGCAATTAATTCCCTGCCAGTAATCGCCTACATTCAAAGTGTTCGCTCCTTAGGGCCGCCGTCTATTATAGTCTCGTTTTATGACACACGGCAATGACAACCAACCACTAAACGTTCGTCGTATGGCCTTGGATCTCTTTCTCCGTTGTCGATCTATCGAATTGACTATTTGTCTGTGGTTTCGAACAAAATCCTCAATAAAAGTGCCTTCATGATGAGATTACATAACCCAAAACATGTGGACCAACATACTCCGCACACCTTCACTCGTTTGTTCAAGACATCGCAGCGATTCGGTGGCCTATTGGCACTTACTTTTTCACTTTACGCTTGCACTTTCGCGGTTTGATTTTCTTGCCCTTCGGTTCGTTGTGTTTTTTTTTTTTTTTCTTTGGTTGGGTAATTTATGAAGGCCACTGTACTTAGATGGAAGCTACTCAAACGGTCTTCATGCTTGGGTGTGGAGAATGATTTTTTGAAAAATTTCCCCCGCATAGCCGTTGGAAAATAGTGATCATAATGTAAATTCAATGTCACAGTCAATCGATGTGGGCTAACGGAAAAATTATTTTTTTGTTTGCATAACAGTTTCAGAGGTTCATCGATATTGAACCCCATCACAGTTGAAATGATTTTTATAACCTTGAAATTTCTCGTAAGCACTCTCCAATGCGTTTTCATGTTTGCTGTTATGTTGAATGTGAATGAATAGCAATCCGCAATTAGCGATGTCATAAATCTTTTAAAGCAGGCCTGTGCCACCTTTCTAAACTTGCTATTTTAAATGGTTCGATGTTGAAACATGTTCATTGCATTTAATTTATTTATCTCTTATTCTGGGCTAAAATTCATAATGATGAATAAAATTGGACTAAAATTATATAATTGCAGAGATCCAGAGACTACGTCCGGCCCGCAGGTCGCACGTTGGACAGCGCTGTTTTAAGACATGCTGTTAAATTTTATAGCTCACTCTACGATCCATGATATTGCCCTAATAAATCAAACCTAGTTAAAAAAAAACTACTCATCAACGCAATTAATCAAATTAACAGGAAAGCAGGTTCATAAATCATGTGAAACCTTAATGCTATGTGATGTAATCACGTTAACCTTATGAGTAGGGGTGTACGATCAATACATAATAAAGATGACAATCACTAACTGCTCGTGGTGGCCACAATCGCTCGTCTCATCTGGAATGATTGCCACTAGTTTTCCTCGAAAGGTTTTCGCAATGTTCCGCAACAGTACAGTACGAGTACGTTGAACTTGGTAATTTTCAGCGAAAATTGTAGTTCTAATTTTTTTCAAATTTTTAACTAATTGCCAAGCTAATAGGATCATTGAAAAGGTTTAAACAATACGTACAGTGTGGAACAAAAGCGCACAAAAGTTATTTTGACAAGCGAGTACAGGATTGTTAACGGAATTACGACTTGTGCGAAGGATTGACCATGTCAACCTTGTTCCAAAGTACCGCCAGTCGGGGTGACAGGAAATGATGCCGAATATTCAACGATATAAAGGACAAACCTGAATTTATTCCAACGCACATAAACAGCTGTAGCTTTTTAACCACGGTAACAAATGTCTTGAAATTTTCAGTAAGACAACAATAGACCAAGGTTAAATGGCAAACACTTTTCAATTAGGGAATCCTTAAATATGTCTTTAAACTTTGTTCAGTTGCAAAAAAGTCAATCCTCCGAATTCCTTGAGGTTCTTTTCGAAATTTTATGAACTCTATGAGCTCTTTTTTTTCTCAGAAGTCCTCTGGAATTATTTTTAGAACTCTTCTTGACTTTTACTCAGAACACCTTGGAATTAAAATTCCCTTAGAGTTTCAGAAGAATTACCTCAGTATTATCTAGAAAGTATTCCCGGAATGAGCTATAAATTATCGGTACTCCCTTGAAGTTTTCCTCAAAATTCCTTTGGAATTTTGCTCAAATTTTAATTTTCTCGGTATTCTTTTCGGAATTATCTTGGAACTATGTGCAGGATTCACTAGAAATTATTCAAAGAATTTTTTTGGAATACTCTCCAGAAATGCTTTTGAACTGTCCCCTTTTGAAATGTCCTCAGAATTCAATATGCTTGAGGTTCTTCTCAGATTTTTTTAGAACTCTCCTAAGAGCTCTTTTGATATTCATTTCAGAAGTCCACTGGAATTATACTTAGAACTCTTCATGATTTTTTTTTTCTCAGAACACCTTGAAACAGAAATTCCTTTAGAGTTTTAGAAATTTTTCCCGGAATGAGCTAGAAATTATCCTCAGATTTCGCTTGAAATTTTGCTTAAAATCCCTTTGGAATTTTACTCAAAATTTGATTTTCTCGGTATTATTTTCGAAATTATCTTGGAACTATCTGCAGGATGCACTAAAACTTATCCGCAGAATTTTCTTTGAACTCTTCTCAGAAATATTTTGGAACTGCTCTAAGAGTTCAATATACTTGAGGTTCTTCTCGGAATATATTAGAACTTTTTTTTTTTCTCAGAACACCTTGGATTTGAAATTCCCCTTAAGTTTCAGAAAAATTTACTCTGTATTCTCCAAAAATTCTTCCTAGAATAAGCTTGAAATTATCCTCGTAATTCCTTCTAAATTTTCCTCAACAACCATTTGGAATTTCATACAAAACTTGATTCTCTCGGTATTATATTAGAAATTATCTTGGAACTATCTACCGGATTTACTAGAAATTATTCGCAGAATTTTCATGAAATCCTCCCCAGAAATGTTTTATTTTTAAACTGTCCTCAGAATTCAAAACCCTTGAGGTTCTTCTCGGAAGTCAAGTTTAAGTTGGCCGTCCATTCACCAAAACGTTGTAGTTTTTCTACCATAAATGTTCAATTCAGCTTGTTCCTCCATGCAGCAGATAGTTGCAAATCTTACACCAGAAATTTTCAATACAAACTTGCCCCCAAGTAATTTTACACTGAAAATTTTAATTGAACAGAACTATGCAAATTTTCCACCAGAAATTTTCAATTATTATTAAAAAAAATGTCTCTATTCAGCAGAAGGATGCAAATTTAAGACCAAAACTTTTCCGTAAAGCTTGCCCATCCGTTCACCAGAACGGTGCAGATTTTCCACCAGAAATTTTCAATATGGCTTAATTTTAAATAAAACTTGTACCTTCACTTACCAGACCAGTGCAAGTTTTCCACCAAAAATTTTTGGTTCATTTCATTTATCAGAGCGATGCAAATTTTGCACCAGAAATTTTCAAAAAAGCATGCTCCTCCATTCACCAGAACGGTGCACCCAAAAATTGTAAGTGAAGTTTGTTTCACCATGCACATTTGTGGTGTAATTTTCAGGCTTTGCCTCTTCATGCGCCAGAATGGTGCAAATTTTCCATCATAAATTTTCAATGAAGCTTGCATTCATCAGAACGATGCAAATTAACACCAGAAAAATGAATAAACCTTGCTTCTACATTCACCACAGTGTTGCGAACTTTCCACCAGAAATTTTCAGTTAAATGTGCACCTCCAAATGTTTAGCGTGATTCAATTTTTCCACCAGAGTTATTAATTTTGATTAGTCCCTCCATGCACCACCTTGATGATATTCTTACACCAGAAATAATCAATAAAGAAAAAACTTTTTCATTGAATTACCACCACGAAGGTGATTTTTTCAACCTTAAATTCACCCTCTTCTTTTAACCCTCCATGAACACCCTTGAAAAAGTAGAAGGGTCTGTGCCTAGGGGCACGAACGGAAGCTTGACGTAGGACCGCTGGTGCAAGGAATAAATGTGAAGAGCATTTAGTTCTTTTAATTGATCAATTATCTATTAACTCAACTCTTTCCGTTTTTGAACTGTAGGCGTACCAAATTTGTAGTAATCTTTTTCAAAGAGAAAGTTGATTAAGAGAATCAATCAAAATCACTTGCACCCCTGCTTCTAAGTTTGGTTACAAGATTACAACTCTGGAGAGCATTTAGTGTGGTCGTTGGAGGCTTGTGGTTCTGAATATGGACAAACAAGCACAGATAAATTCTATTCCAACTCCTTACTGATGTAAGCTTGATGACCCTGAAAAGGGCCGTTTTATTGAAGAGGACATCCATGGTCACTTACGCTTGGGCGTGTTTAGTGTAGGTGACAGCATCACAGACCTCATTTTCCAGAAACACCTTCAGCACACCTCGTAGATCAGATCGGAGATACGTTTGACACCACCACGGCGAGCTTTGCGATGACGCTTGGCGCCTCCTTTACCAGACCTTTTCCTCCTTTGTCACGACCAGTCAATTGTTGCTTGTTAGGCGTGAAGGAGTGGACTAGCCACCACCTTCCTACTGCTGCTATTGCTGTTCACCACGCCGTCCGAAGCGAAAATGAGCTAATGGCTTATTTTTTTTTTTTTGTTTTTACCAGTTGTTTAAATGATCTTTATTTCAGTTTAACTTGGACGATTACCATATACATTTTTTTTTACTAAGTGATTTAATTGCTTTCTTCATCTTTAGGTATGGGCAAAATTCAAAATTTGTTTTACAGAATTAGTCCTAGACTTAGTACACGGTCGACCACCTTGGTGGGATTGGTTTGTTTTGTTTTTA